TGCTGCCCCGCGCCTCGCCGTGTTGGCTCCAGGGCTGGGCCAGGAGCTCCGCGGGCCTGAGCGGGCCCCCGCCCCCCCTCCCCCCGCACCCGGACCCCCGATGCCCCCGAGGTCTCGACCCGTTCCCTGGGACCGGCGTTGGAGGGTTTCTCCGCAGCGCTTGGGCGACCCGTCCTCCTCCTCCTCCTCCTCCCTCCTCCTCCTCCCTCCCTCCTCCTCCTCCTCCTCCTCCTCCTCCTCCTCCTCCTCCTCCTCCTCCTCCTCCTCCTCCTCCTCATGTCCTCCTCCATCCTCTCCTCCCCTCCTCCTCCTCCTCCTCCTCTCCTCCTCCTCCTCCTGCTCCTCCTCCTCCTCCTCCTCCTCCTCCTCCTCCTCCTCCTCCTCCTCCCCCTCCTCCTCCTCCTCCTCCTCCTCCTCCTCCACCTCCACCTCCACCTCCTCCACCTCCTACTACTCCTCCTCCTCGGGTCGGCTACGGCCCCGGGGGAAACCGTGCAGCTGGCGTCTCGTCCCGCGCCGTTGCTCGACGGTCCTGGGGCCCAGGGTGATGGCCCCCCCGAGGCCGAGAATGGCGAACCACGCCCCGTCGTGAATTTTCACTCGGCGGCGAGCGAGGGGGGCAAGTGAGGAGGAGGAGGCCTCCTCAGAAGGCTCGGGAGTCCCCCGGCCTTCTGAGAGGTTCTCTGAGCCTTCCCCGAAAACAGGAGCAGCTCCTCGGAAGGCGCGCGAGGGCTTCTGAGAAGCCCCGCCGCCTTCTGAGAAGGCCTTCTCCTTCTCCTTTCGCCCCCTCGCTCGCCGCCGATTTTTGTGACCCGAGGGGGTCTGGGCGCCGCGACCCATGGCCGCAGAGGCGGGCTGGCATGGCCGTCCGTGTGCGCGGGCGGCTGGCCCACGACCTCGACCTGCGGGCGCGGGGCTGCCGGCGCCGCCGCCTGCGCGGCCGCGGTGGGTCGGAGGCGACGACAGGGGGCGACTAGCCCATCGGCCACGCGCAGAGGGGGGGGGGCAGGGGATGAGATGTGATGAAACCAGTCGGGAAGCGAGTGGCAATACACAGCACCTGAGCTTGCCGAGGGACGAGACGATGATGCAGCACACCACGACGAACGGGCAGCCCACCGGCGCCGAATATTGCCCCAGCAACCCAGCGAGCCGAAAAAAGCCACCCTCTGAGTACCACGAGCAGCATGACCAAGAAACAGAAGACCGCCGACTCCAGCAAATACTCTGCAAGCAATTCACACTATGCGCCAGACCAATGCCAGGATGTGAATAATGGGGGGAGTGACCGATAGCGCTACCCTTCGTCCGTTTCCTCTTTTTTTGGCCTCCTGTGAGGCCCTCGTCGCCACGGCTGGATTCGCTTCGAAATCTTTGTCAGAACGCAGCCCAGGAGAGGTCCAGGGAGTAGCAGCATCGGTACATTTTGGTTTCCCCAGGATCGGGCCAGCCACGCGCAGAGGGGCGTAGGGGCGTAGGGGGATGCGGGAAGGTTTCTCAGAAGCACCCCTGCTGCTTCGAAGAGGCGGGCCTTGTCTGTAGATGTCGGGCTGGCGCCTTCTGTGAAGCAGCCTCCTTCTAAGAAGCCTTCCCCACTCCTTCTAAGAAACCAGCCCCCTTCTCCCTACCCCCTTGTGCGCGCTGCCAACAGGCGGTGATCGGATGGGGCTAGGATGAGGATAGATCCGTCCCAGAGCGTTCAGGAACGCTCTCAGAGCGTCGCGGCACGCTCTGAGAAGGCCGCGGTGCCCGAGACATCCTCCAGATCCGCCGGATCTCAGAGATTCTCGCTTTATCCTCACCCGAATTTATCTTCGTCCTGGCTTCGTCTTAGGTGAGCCTTCTACGCGTCCGTGGCGTCGCATCCGTTCCACAACGGGAGATTTTTCCTTGTCTCGGAAACCCTGGGGCTCTCGCGGGTCTATCTGGCTCGCAGGGTGCCGCAGAAACATGGGGCCCCCAGGCTTTGGCAGAGTTTTTCCAACGATGCTGTTTTTTTCTTCGCGACGTCGGATCTCCAGGCTCGCCGAGCGCGCGTGTGGTGGGAGTCTGCGGTCTCGTGTGCACAGCCCGCCCGCCTGTGGGGGTGTACGCAGGGGGGGGGATTTCATTTTCCTACGTCGGGCTTGTCCTTCTACAGGAAAGAATGTTTAATAATAGGTAAACAATAGTCAGGTGGTGATTTTTCGTCTCCTAATTATCATTCCAAAGGTCCCTCAATCAGAGCTTGCCTCTGTAGGGGTCTTAGCGGATTCATATTGTTAGGTGAGGTTTGCCACCGATTTCCGCGGCCCGCCCGGGTGCCCGGGTGCCCGGGTGCCCAGGTGCTTGGGTGCCCAGGTGCCTGGGTGCCCGCCCTATAGCCTTATAGCTCTATAGCCCCATAGCCCTTGAGCCCCATAGCCCCATAGCCCTATAGCCCTATAGCCCTATAGCCCTATAGCCCTATAGCCCTATCGCCCTAGAGCCTTAGAGCCCTAGAGCCCTATAGCCCTGTAGCCCTATAGCCCTATAGCCGTATAGCCCATAGCCCTATAGCCCTATAGCCCCATTGCCCAATAGCCCTATAGCCCCATAGTCCCATAGCCCTATAACCCTATAGCCCTATAGCCCTATAGCCCAATAGCCCAATAGCCTTGTAACCCTGCAGCCCAATCTCCCAACAATCCTATAGCCCCATAGCCGTATAGCCTTATAGCTCCATAGCCCAACAGTCCTATAGCCCTATAGTCCTATAGTCCTATAATCCTATAGCTTTATATGCCTATGGCCCTATAGCCCTAGAGCCTATATCCCTATAGCCCTATAGCCCTATGGTCCTATAGCCCTGTAGCCCAATCGCCCTATAGACTCATAGCCCTATGGCCCTATAGCCTTACAGCCCCAGAGCCCCATAGCCCTATAGCCCTACAGCCCAATAGCCCTATAGCCCTATAGCCCTATAGACCTATAACCCTGTGACCCTACAGCCCTATAGTTCCATAGCCCTGTAGCTCCATAGCCCCATCGCCCTATAGCCCTATAGCCCTATAGCCCCATAGCCCTATGGCCCTAAAAAGGTTTTGATTTGATTTTCTCTGGTATCGTATGTTTTGACTATGCAAAACAGTATGTCACAACCCGCCTGTAGGAGGACATGCCCGACCGAAGTCTAGCTCAGGGCGAGGCTACGCAGCGAGCCCAGCTCGAGGCTGCCGTTTACCTCCTCCGGGCTCCGTCGGGAGCCGTTCTCCTCCGACCCCACCCTGAGCGGCGCAGCAAAGCGGGGTCGTCTTCACTGGCATGGCGCGCTCGCTGCCCGCGCAGGGCCTCGCGCAGGAGCGCCCTCTTCACCACGCGGCGTGCCGCGCGGGCGGCCCGCGTGAGCCACCGCAGAATGCCGCCGTGCCATTCACCACCCACCAAACCACCCCAACCCAACCCGAAGGCTCAGATTTACCCTCGATTTCCAGTGGGGGGGGGGTCGGGAAACATCGAAAAAACACGTGTGGAACCCTTACCCCCCCAACCCGAAATTCGGGTCTTCGGGTTGGGTTGGGGTGGTCTGGTAGGTAGTCAGCCATACTGCGTGAAGCCCGCCTCCTCTCCTCGCCCACCTGTGGCTTGGCGTCGCTCGGACGTGTGCGCTCCTTCACAGCGAGGACCATCGTGGATTTTTTTTTTGCGGGACACAGAAGCACGCACGGCACCGACCACTGCCCGGGGAGAGGGCGCCCGAGCGACGGCGAGTTCCCGCCCTCCCGAGCCTGGGCTACCCGCCCCCGCCGCAGCCCCCGAGTGGGCGCGGGCCCCCGCGTGCGCCGCCGGCGCGGCGTGGGTGGCAGGTCGCCGGCGCAGCCTCGCGCGCAGCCGCCCGCGCCTGCGCGAGCTGCGCGGCCGCCGCGCCGGCAGGTCGGGACTCCACAGACGGGGGTCAATGTAAGCTTAAGTCGGAACTGTCCCCCTACAGGGGGATTTTCGACGAAAGATAATAAATACCCCTAACAATAGTCAAGACATAATAAAAAATAGTCTGGGGACTATTTTTGGGGTATTTTTTGACCCTTTTGGGGTATTTTTTGGGATGTTTTTAATTTTTCGTCGAAAATCCCCATGTAGGGGGACACGCCCGACAGTCAGAGCGCCTGATTTTGCAGGATCCTGCATGGCCAGGGGCGCACTGACCCGGGTGCAGGACCCTGCAGGATCCTGCAGGATCCTGCCAAGCCTGCCTGACCTGGGTTTGCATGCACCCGGGTCAGTGCGTCCCCGAGTCTACGCTTGAATTCTGCGACGCGGGAGCACCAGGGGACACGGCAGCCCCACGCTGGACCCGACCCGACGGAGCTCAACCTGGAGCGATCGGGGCTGCGGTCGGTCCACTGCCCCGGGCTTGCACTGACCCGGGTCCGCGAGTTCCTGAGCAGGGGCAGCGCGGCAGCGGACCGCGCCGCCGCGGGGGCCGGCGCCGAAGGGCCAGGCCCGGCCGCTGCCGCGGGCCCCCGCCGCCGCAGTGCGGCGGCGGCCGCCGCGGGGCTCGTCGCGTGGGGCGGGGGCGCCCCCGCGCGGCTCGGCGGGGCGGCGGGCGCGGCGGCGGCGGCGGCTCCGGCCGCGGTGGTGAAGAGCCCGCTCGACCGGAGGGACTTCGGGGGGGGGGGCGTGGCTCGGGCGTGTGTGTTGGCCAAGTACTCCTTCTGGCTGGCCAGCCTCGCCTGCCGCGTTATGATTTTTCTTTTTGCTTGATCAGCGCGCGTCTGGTGCGTCGATTGGCGGTTGGCGCGCATCCGGCGAACACGCTGGGAAGGACACGCAAGACGCAAGGAATCGTCGATCCCCAGGAAGATGTGGGGATGATTATGGGAGGTGGGGGGGAAGACGAGAGTCCAGAAGATGCACAGTAGGGGTCTTGAAGAAGGAACCCTTTTCGTTGGGGAGGGGCTCCGTGTTCCTTGATTGTTTCACAGCTTGGCTTGGGTTTTCCTGAGGTTTTCGATGGAGAATCGAAGCTCAACTTTTGGGATCAAGGGGCCTCGTTCCTTCTTTAAGGTTCCTTGGGTCAACGCCCCTTCTGTAGGAACAGAGGGGGGAGTCCTGGGATCTGTGCCTATTTATCTGCGTGTCCCTGGGCCCCAACCAGGACTACGCCCCCCTCACGCTGCCGAACGGCCTGCGGGTGCTGCTCGTGTCCGACCCCGACACGGAGCGCGCCGCCGCGGCGCTGGACGTGCACGTGGGGTACTCAGGAGGGAAAAAAGCACATAGACACAATTAATCGTCGATTCCCCAGGAAACATGGGAAAAAAATGAGAATTGGGGGGGAAGACAAAAACCCAGGAAATATGGAAACATATGGGGAATCTTTTATTTGTGTGTATTTATTTGTGTGTCCCAGGGCCCCTTCAGGTACTTCAGCGACCCTGCGGGCCTCCCGGGGCTCGCGCACTTCAACGAGCACATGCTCTTCCTCGGCACTGAGCGGTTCCCCGAGGAGAACGGCTTCGACGAGTTCCTGACGACCTTTGGCGGCGGGGGCTTCTCCAATGCCCTGACGAAGGCCGAGGACACCTGCTTCTACTTCTCCTGCCGCGCTGATGCGCTGGCGGCGTCGCTGGAGAGGTTTGGCGACTTCTTCCAGAGCCCGCTGTTCAGCGCGGACGTGACGGAGCGGGAGCTCGGAGCCATCGACAGCGAGTTCCTCAAGAACGTCCTGGACGACGGCTTTCGCTTCGACCAGCTTCTGCGGAGCCGGGCCAACCCGCTCCACCCGTTCTCGAAGTTCGGCGGGGGCACCAGTCGGGGAAGCATAACACTCGAGTAAGCCAGAACTCGGGTTTGCCGACGTTATTTGACGAGCTCGTCCTGGATTTTGACGGTCCAGTTTTCGTGGGATATTTACAACGGCAGCTCGCGTCAACTTTCAGATTGAGTCTCGTCATTTTTCGCATGGTATGTTCCCGTCAGGCCAACCCGAGTCCCCCGTACCCGAGTCTTACGTCTCCCCGAACCAGCGAGTCTCTGCGGAGCCCCAACCTGCGAGCCGCCCTGATCGATCACTATCCACCAGGTGCCTTCGGCAGCCTCCGCCGCAGTGCCTGCGATAAGTCGGGCATGTCCCTCTACAGAAGGAATCTTCAAAAGTAGCAAAGAAATAGTCTGGATATGATTTCCTTAGGTCATTTCTTAGTATCATGCATATTTTGAGTATTCTCTATGGTTAGATCGCACATTTTTTGGTTGCGTACTTTCTATGCTTCATGTACTACTAGTATTCTACTTGTTCGTATCTATTATTGTTGTTATGCTTTGTTGAGTATTGTTTTGAGCGATTTCTGATTTTTGTTTCTCCAACGTCCGCCTGTAGGGGGGACCTGCCCGACCTGGCGCCGGCGCAGCGCCTCCGCGTGGCGACCCCCCGAGAGGCCCGCCCCGCAGGGGAGCACCCGAGGCGGCGCCCTGCTCCCCGGGGCCTGCGGGGTGGCCTCGGCATGCGACGGGCCCCGCCCTCGGGCCCGCGGAGGCCGGGGGGCGTCTTCCTCGGGGCCCGCGGCTCTGTAATGCATATCTCGTTGTATATATACATATACATGTATACATGCTTCTACCTTTTATGTATAGCACATATATATATACACATGTTATATATACATCCTCTTTTAGCTGTCGACTATGCTTCATCATGATAGTAGCATTGCGCAGCCTTTTTCACGCTCCGCCCGATAAGACGCGGGCGTCCGAGGGAAGTCAGCCTGTGAGTGTTCTCTGCCGGGCGACGGGGGGGTGGAGAGTGAGTGAGAGATAGGGAAAGACAAGACATATGTGTGTATATATATAGATACATATGCATGTATATATACACATATAAATATGTACAATTATATATGCGCATAAGTTTGTATAATGCATATACGGACGTATGTATTCGTGTACTTATTTACGTACTATATATGTACGTATACGTATAAGTTTATGCATGTGGGTGCATAATTTTATGTACTTAATGCATATGTGTAAAGTACAGGTGTATACACATACATGTTTATGTACATGTGTATGAGTGCGTCTATATATATATATATGCATGAAACCCTATTCACTCCAGGTGCCACGAGGCCGCATCGTGTGACGGCTTGCCTCCCCGGTCGTTGGAAGGCTGCGCCAGGGACAGGTGTCGAAGAAGAAACAGCGGCATACAGTGGGGGCGCGCCTCAAGAAACCATCTGCTTTTCGTCAGGATACCCTGGGTTTCTTCGCTCCGCGCGATGCGCGGTGACTTCTCGCAGCAGTTGAAGGAGCTGCTGCGTTTGGGGGGCTCCGGGTTTCCCCTCAGTTGCACCTCGCGCGCGGGTTTTCAGGGTTGGGTTTCTTGCGAGGGTTTCTTGCGACCGCGCCCGCACTGTACACATCAACTGTCGAAGGTCCGTGCGGATTTCATGGACCTGCGCTGCCCCGACCTTACTGGCGCGCGGAGCGCGTCAGGGGCGGCGCCAGAGGCGCCGCCAGGGGGGCTAGCGCAGATCGCAGAAATCCGTCTATACCGTCGAAAGTTTGTGTGTCTGTATTTTTTTCTTCCAAGTTGTATCCCCGTGGTCTGAAGGGCTGCGCCACACCAGCCCCCCAGGCTGGGCCATCTTGCGACCACGTCGGGGCAGCTTCGGGGCCCTCTTGGGTCATCTTGGGGACTCCTGGGGGCATCTCGGGCCGTCTCGGGGCGTCTCGGCGTCGGCGACGCGCAGGGGAGGGGGGAAGGCTTCTTAGCAGGAGGCTTCTGCTTAGAAGGTGCGGGGCTTATCTGGAGATGTAAGGCTGGCGCCTTCTGAGAAGCAGCCTCCTTCTAAGAAGCCTTCCCCACTCCCCCAGCTCCCGCGTGCGCGCCGCCAAAGTGATAATGGGAACCTGAGGACCTCCAATTGCTCATTGATCGCCGATTGGGGCCTGATGACGCCACCCCCGTCCAGCACCGTGCGGACTTGCTATCGAGGGCCTATATACCCAGGACGGCATTTTTTCCAATTGGCCCTGGAACCGACGTCAAGCGTGGCTGTCGAACGTATGAATGGAGTTGAAGCGGATCTGTTCTCAGCACGTGTGGATCAAATGCCGGTTTCGATTCAGGTTGGGGTAGATTTGATTTCTCTCGGTTCGCGGGGTGCACGTTCAGAGCATGTATACAGTCAAGTCGTCGTTGGGCCTCCTGGGAGCTTTTAGGGGGCCCTCGTGGAGGCCTCTTGGGGGCTCTGGAGGGCGTCTGGGGCCGTCTTGAGGTGCTCTTGCGCCGTCTGGCCCCTTCGGAACCCGCCTCGGGGGCCTCTCGGAGCTGCCTTGGGGCCTCTCGGGCCGTCTTTGGGCCGTCTTGGAGGCTGCCTGGCCGTTGTGGGCCCACGAGAGCCCAAGGAGGCGAGAACGCGCAAATCCGACAACAACCGAAGGAAAAGGTCTCTGCATCTTGGAGCCCCCTTGGAGGTCCTCTCAGGCCCCTCTGAGGCCGTCGGGAGGGCAGCGTCATGCATTCGCTGTGGACCGCTTTGACAGCGGGGCCCCGCTGTCAAATGACCCACTGTGGGCGGCGAGGGGAGGGGGAGGTGAGAAGGAGAAGGCCTTCTCAGAATGCGGCGGGGCTTCTTAGAGGCCCTCGGGCCTCCTGAGAGAGGCCTTCTGGGCCTTCGGGGAAGGCGCAGGATACGTTTCAGAGGGCCGCGGGACTTCCGAGCCTTCTGAGAAGGCCCGCCCCTTCTCACTTCCCCCCCAGGCTCGCCGCCGATGTGGGGGCCTCCGAAACTCTGTCCGAGCCATTTGTCCTCCTCCCACCCCAGGTTGCTGCAGAAGCACCCCCGCCCCAGGCCGCCCCGCCCGACGGCCCGCTTCCCCCCCCCCCCCGACGCCCCACGCCCGCCGAGCCCACGCCGGCAAGCGATACCCCTCCTCTTCGGCTCGCGAAGGACAGCACGCTCCTGCACCCCCGCGCGATCCACCCACCACATCGAAGAAGAAAAAACGCCATCAACATACACTTTTTGGCGCTCCGCGCGGAGTTCTTGGATCCGCGCTGGCCCCCCCGGCGGCGCTTCCGGCACCGCCCTGGCGCGCTCCGCGCGCCAGGGAGGGGGGCCCAGCGCAGATCCAAGAAACCCGTGCGGAGCGTCAAACGGTTTATGCTTATGCCGCTTTTCTCCTTCTGCCCATGCGATACCCACCCCCCACGCTTCTTGGAGGGTTTGGTGTATCCACCTCTGCTGCGTGCCACTGGCCGCTGCCGGCGGATAAGGAGTTCTATCGCGAAGAGGAGCAGAGTGCACGAGCATAAGCGCTACCAGGGGCCTGCGCAGCTGTCCTGGATTTGCGCCTGGAATCCCTCTGAGGGTGGCCAGCGCCGTTCCGAGAAGTCCGCGCGGACCCCACGAGCGGTGAAAGGAGGAGGCGCCGCCCGAGCGCGCGTGGAGGATAAGGAGAAGAAGCAGGAGGAGGAGGAGGAGAAGGAGAAGGAGAAGGAGAAGGAGAAGGAGGAGGAGGAGGAGGAGGAGGAGGAGGAGGAGGAGGAAGGAGGAGGAGGAGGAGGAGGAGGAGGAGAGGAGGAGGAGGAGTGTATCCATACCCGTGCCCTCGCAGTCCGGATCCCGGGGCGCGATCCCGTGGGGTGCGCGGTCGCATATCGAGGCGTTCCGCGCGGAGCACCCGCGAAGAGAGCGCCCCGCATCCACGGGGTCGCTTTGCCCAGGGGCCGCCCGGGAGGCAGTGGACATGGACATGCTCCCCTGCCCGCGAGGACCTCCTCCTCCTCCTCCTCCTCGAAAGTCTACGTACGCCCGTGCCGCTCTCCCTTCTTCTCGCCGTCGCGCGCCCCTGATGACGCTCTGCGTCCTGGGCCGCGAGGGCACGGCCCAGCTCGCGGAGTATGCGAGGCGCTGCTTCCTTAGATGCTCGGTTCGGGGGACCTCCCTGGGGCCCACCCTTCTGACCTGTGCGACACCAGCTCGGACTCCGGTTCGATCCTGGCTCGACTCCTGGTGCGTCCGAAGCCCGACTCGCGGACGGACATTCGGCGCAGCGAGTGGCTCCAGGAAAAGGTTTCCCGAATGAGCATCTAACGCTTCGGCGGCGTGCCGGGCGCCGTTTCGTCAGGGCCGCCCGCCCGACCCGCGGACGCTTGGGCTGGCGTGCCGCCCTTCTTGCCCGCCGCCTTCGGCTCCGTGGTCAACGCGGTTCCAGTGGCGGACGCCCGCGTGCTCCAGGTCGCCTTGGAGGGTTTCTCCGAAGGACTTAGGCGACCCGTTCTTCTCCTCCTCCTCCTCCTCGTCCTCCTCCTCCTCCGTCCTCCTCCTCCTCCTCCTCCATCTCCTCCTCTCCTCCTCCTCCGCCTCCTTCCCCTCCGTCCTCCTCCTCCTCCTCCTCCTCCTCCTCCTCCATCTCCATCTCCATCTCCATCTCCATCTCCATTCTCCATCTCCATCTCCATCTCCATCTCCATCTCCATCTCCATCTCCATCTCCATCTCCATCTCCATCTCCATCTCCACCTCCATCTCCTCCTCCCCCTCCCCCTCCTCCGCCTTTTCTTCTTCTTCTTCTTCTTCTTATTCGTCTTCTTCTTCTTCTTCTTCGTCTTCTTCTTCTTCTTCTTCTTCGTCTTCTTCTTCTTCTTCTTCTTCTTCTTCTTCTTCTTCTTCTTCTTCCTCCTCCTCCTCCTCCTCCTCCTCCTCCTCCTCGGGTCGCCTACGGCCCCAGGGGAAACCGTGCAGGTCGCCTTCCCCGTGGTGTGGGCGCCCGCGGCGCAGGCCGAAGAATATGAAGTGGCATCAGCATAATAGTATTAAGTCGGGCCTGTCCCTCTACAGGAGGACACTTCAAAAATGATCAAAAAATAGTATGGGGACGATTATCCCAGACATCCTGTGGTGTTGGGTCCTCGTTTTGAAGAGACAGTGCTCCGCGGCTCCTCTCCACCTTCCTCTCCTCCCTCCTCCCCCGCACCGCGCCCATTTCGGCAGACCCCTCACACGTTTTGTGGCCCCATCGGGAGCCCCACCGAAGGCTTTAGTGGGAAAGTTCGCATGGCGGCCTCGGGCCAGTTCGGCGCACCCCTCACACGTTTCGTGGCCCCATAGGGAGCTCCGCCGAAGGCCCCAGTGGGAAAGTTCGCATGGCGGCCTGGGGCCAGTTCGGCGCACCTCTCACGAGGACCGTGGCCCCATGGGGAGCCCCACCGAAGGCCCCAGTGGAAAAGTTCGCATGGCGGCCTCGTGCCAGTTCGGCGCACCCCTCACGAGGATCGTGGCCCCATGGGGAGCCCCACCGAAGGCCCCAGTGGGAAAGTTCGCATGGCGGCCTCGGGCCAGTTCGGCGCACCCCTCACGAGGATCGTGGCCCCATTGGGAGCTCCACCGAAGGCCCCAGTGGGAAAGCTCGCATGGCGGCCTCGGGCCAGTTCGGCGCACCCCTCACGAGGACTAGGGAGCCCCGCCGAAGGCCCCAGTGGGAAAGTTCGCATGGCGGCCTCGGGCCAGTTCGGCGCACCCCTCACGAGGATCGTGGCCCCATAGGGAGCTTCACCAAAGGCCCCAGTGGGAAAGTTCGCATGGCGGCCCCGGGCCAGTTTGGCGCACCCCTCACGAGGATCGTGGCCCCAATAGGGAGCCCCATCGAACATGATATTCACGACTGCGGTACTCACAGCTGCATATGGTTGGGTCCTGCGCCAGGCTAATTTGAATATTTTTATTGACTTTCCCAACCATCCTGTGGTGTTGGGTCGTCGTTTTGAAGAGACGGTCCCCGCGTTCTCCTTCCTCCTCCCTCCTCCCCCTCCCCCCTCCCTCTTCCCTGCGTTTCACCGACCCAGTACAGCGTTTCGTGGCCCCATCGGGGGCTCCACCGAAGGCCCCAGTGCCACCGTCCACATGCGCCCCCCCCCCACACCCATTTCGGCACACCACTCACGCGTTTCGTGGCCCCATAGGGAGCTCCACCGAAGGCCCCGGTGCCACCGTCCACATGCGTCCCCCATACCCATTTCGGCAACCCCCTCACACGTTTCGTGGCCGCATAGGGGGCGCCACCGAAAAGATATCCACAATTGCCGTACGAACAACTGCATTTGGTTGGGTCCTTCGCCAGGGTAATTTTTATTTTTCGTTGAAAATCCGTCTGTAGGGGGACATGCCCGACCTAATAATAATGATAAGCAGTCGAACATCCTCGCGTCACGACGCATTAACGGCGGGAGTTTCTTGTCTGTTCCCAGCCATCCTGTGGTGTTGGGTCCTCGTTTTGACGAGACAGCGCCCCGCGTCCACTCCTCACTCCTCCTCCACCTCCTCCTTCCTCCCATCCCTGCCTCTGCTCCTCTCACGCGCATCGTCATTATCGCCATCGTCAGCATCATGCCTCTGTTCTCCGCATGTGCACCATTTCGACACACCCCTTACATGGCTCGTGGCCCCATAAGGAGCTCCACCGAAGGCTCCAGTGGTCGGGTCCGCATGCGTCCTCTCCGCCCATTTTGGCACACCACTCACATGGCTCGTGGCCCCATAGGGGGCCCCACCGAAGGCCCCAGTGGGAAAGTTCGCATGCGTTCCCCTCGCCCATTTTGGCACACCCATCACACGGTTCGTGGCCCCATAGGGAGTTCCACCGAAGGTCCCAGTGGCAGGGTCCGCATGCGTTCCCCCCGCCCATTTTGGCACACCCATCACACGGTTCGTGGCCCCATAGGGAGCTCCACCGACGGCCCCAGTGGCAGGGTCCGCATAGGTCACCCTGCCCATGTTGGCGTACCCCTCACACGGTTTGAGGCCCCATAGGGAGCTCCACCGAAGACGCCAGTGGCAGGGTCCGCATGCGTCCCCCCGTCCATTTTGGCACACCCATCACACTGTTCGTGGCCCCATAGGCTATTCATGGCGCCAACATCGCAGGGCGGATTTCGTTCGGAAAACAAAAGGATGGGCCCGAAGTGTCTGGGATAATTCTGTTTCGGATTTCGAAGTTCATTTCGTGCGGATTTTTTGGGCCAGGAATGAAGACTACAAACAATTCACGTGAGGTCACTTCGTTTTTCGCTCGCCGTTTCGGGATTTTGCCTTGACGGAAATCCACTCAAAAATCCTTTGCAGCACGTCTGCAAGGTCGGTGCAGCGACAGGGAGCTCCAGCCAAAGCGGGACCCACAACGCGGTATTCATAATTGCATGTGGTGGGGTCTTTCGCTCGGATAATTTATGTTCGGCCTCGGGGGGCCCTCGCCGATCCCCGGGACTGTCAGAACACGACCTGGGATGAAAGACCAGCATCCATGGGAAAGGGTCGGGATTTCTGGGGACCAAGTATCTAAAAATCGAGGTATCGTCGGACAAGGCTAGGACGAAGATAAACCCGTTCCAGAGCGTTCCTTACTGCTCTCTGGGAGCGTTTCGGAGCGCTGTGAGGAGGCCGCGGCGCCCGAGACATCCTTCACAGCCGTCAGATCTCGATTTAGCCTCGCCCGATTTTGTCCCCGTGTTGGCTTCGTCTTATGTCTCGGATGTCTTAGATTGCCTCCTGGGTGGACATCTTGGATCGCCCCCTGGGCGGCGCCTCTGGCGCGGCCCCTTGCAGTCCTTCGCCTCCACGGCTGGATTTGCCTCGAAGTCCTGGTCAGAGCGCACCCCAGGAGCGGTCGGGGGAGTAGCAATATCGGTATTGCTGGTACTCCATAAGTGACAGCGATAGCTGGCAAATGTTTCTACAACAACGATCGCAACGATCACGACGATAACAACGGGCACAACGAGAGCGACGACAGCGATAACAACGACAACAGCCATCACAACGGCAGCAGCGGTCACAACGATGACCACGAGCACAACAACAGCGCAGTTCCGTGATAAGAGCTAGGGGGCGGGGGATCGGGGTGGGTCGTGGGCGGGTCGAGGGAGGAATAGGAGGAGGAGGAGGAGGAGGAGGAGGAGGAGGAGGCGGAGGAGGAGGAGGAGGAGGAGGAGGAGGAGGAGGAGGAGGCGGAGGCGGAGGCGGAGGCGGAGGCGGAGGCGGAGGCGGAGGCGGAGGCGGACCGCGGGGTGGCTCGCGGGGTGGGTTGCGTGGGGGCCACTGGGGGGTCGCGGGGGGGACGACGACAGCGACGCAACAGCAATCCGCACCGCTGAACCCCTCTTCGGCCACGCGCCCTGGGACAACGAGTGTCGGCCACGCGTGGAGGGAGGCAGGGGGAGGGGGGAAGGCGTCTTACTTGGAAGGAGCCTTCCCCCCTCCCCCTGCCCCCCCCCTCTGCGCGCCGCCAAGAATGACCGCTCGGCCCCCTCACTCTGGCTTGTGGAGCCCCAGGGGGATCTCGCGGATCTGCGCGGCCCCCACCCCTCCCCTGGCGGCGCGGCGCCTCCTGCGCCGCCCACTGGCTCGGGCCGATCGCAAGGGGTACGGAAGCAGTCGGCACAACGTCCATCCGCACTTCTTGTTCGTTAGGAGCAGGGTTCATCGTCGGCCTCGCCGCTGTCGTTGTCCTTTTGAGGCAGAAGGCCGCCTGCCCAGCAGTTTTGGAGACGAGAGTTGTTGGCGGGCGTCGTGCCCACTCTCTTCGTGCCCAGCTCGGGCGCCCACGCTGGGCGCGCTCCGCGCGCGCTGGCGAGCTGTGTGCTCGGCGCCGCTGCCAGCAGCCCGGCGCAGGCCTCCGAACGTTTGCATTCGGAAGCTTCTGCTGAGCACGTCGCGTCGCCCGTTCTGGCCCACCACGCCTCGGCGCGACACGCGCACCACGTCCGAGTCCCCAGGCGGCCACGTGCCTAGCTTCTCCAAATCTCCCGCCGCGCGGAGTGGAGCGACTGCCCGCCTGCACGGCCTAGCGTCTCGCGGGGACCTCCTCCTCCTCCTCCTCCTCCTCCTCCTCCTCCTCCCTCCTCCTCCTCCTGCTCCTCCTCCTCCTCCCCCTCCTCCTCCTCCTCCTCCTCCTCCTCCTGCTCCTCCCCCTCCCCCTCCTCCTCCTCCTTCCCCTCTTCCTCCTCCTCCTCCTCCTCCTCCTCCTCCTCCTCCTCCCT